CCAAACAGACCCTATAGGTTAGTTTCTTTATCATATAACAATATATGGTGTAAATTTCTTGAAAGGCATGCATGCCATTTTGATAAATTTGGACATACAAAACACCAATCGCGAACACAAATTAATTATTAGGATTTGGCCGGAACCCTTATATAGCTTTAAGCTTCTAACAGTACAACAATACCATTTCTTTTGGAACCCTTATATAGCTTTAAATTTCTATATCAACAATACCATTTCTTTTTTCGTTTCCTAATTTTTGGACATTGAGGATCTTCTGAAAAATCTTGACTTTAAGGCCTCATTCCCAATTAGTGTTGTTGTAGGTCTCTTAGATGCAACATCTTTCTTGTATAGTTTCAAGAGATCAAATTCATGACCTTTTAGATCTGATCTCAAATCAATTATCCAGTTGTTGCGTAAGCAAACTTTTTGCTGTCGCTAATTTGGACTGTCTTAACGTGCCATTCCTAGGTAATGCATGAAGCAACTTGATGTTGAGTTCCTATTGTGGAATCTCCGATCATTCTAATAAATTATATAAATCTCCAAGATAATAATAAATCGAGTTTCCATTTGTTCAATTAATTTAATTACATGATATCATTTTGTAATAATAAATTCTTTAATAATCCAAAACGTAACAAAATTTATTTTCCAAATTTTAAAATGTGATTCATTCTTAAAATATTTAACACTTAATCCGTGTATAGTTTCTTAATGTCAATTTTTTTGAAAAAAAAAAATGTTAAACGTAGAATTTTCAAACTTCAGCTAAATTTTAATAAAATTAATTATCAAAATAATTATATACGAAAATAAAAGTGGTACTGAACACATAATTTCTTAATATATATTAATATTAATTAAAGCTTTCATTTTCAAAAAAAAAAAAAAAAATTAAAGCTTTCAGTTCAAGTTAAATTCTTTTGAATTCCCTATAATGTATTGCAACTCATGTTTCTCAATCATTATATCATGATGACATACAAATTTATATTCAGCTTGGGTGATCACTGACATACAAATTTATTTTCTGTATAATAAATATTCATTTTTAATACATTATAATTTTTTTTAAAAAAAATATTTTTAATATATTACCTAAAAATGAACCTTCAGCATATTAAAGTAATTGAAATTCAGTAAGAAGCGTTTGTATTTACCTTGAATTAATTATGAATAATTAAATACTCTTAGTACTAAAATTTATATAAAAGTCAATAACGATAAAGTTTTAATAAGAATATATAATAAATGTATTGGTATGGCATTGTTAACTTGTATATTGTGATTACTTTCTTATACACTTTATATTCTTTCGGATTTTATTTTCTTTTTTTTCCTCATTTTACAAGCTAACATTGTTAAGTACTATACAATCACTAAATATAATAACTTGTACATTATATTGTGTTTACTCTCTTATATACACTTTCAAATTTTAATTTTTTACAATTTTATATTTTTTTATGTGGTCATGATCTATCCATTGATAATATCTATTATCACATTTTAAATGTGACTTGACTAGATGTTGTTATACTTTTTTTTTTTTTTTTTTTTGAAATCAGATGTTGCTATACTTAATTCTACAGAGTCATTTATACTTTTGTTTCTTCTATAAGACATAATTTTATGTACATCTAAAGGTTATACATATGAAATTTTTATATTATTTTATTAAAAATTATAACATTTAGAATTGATATTAAAAGAATAACACAATTTAACAAGTTAAAGGACTCCACTATCAACAGGTCTCCTCTGCGTACTAATGTACTATTATACACTCATGCACTAGTCTTAGAGCATCCACAATGGTTGGGGAGAATTGGAAGATAATGTAAGAGTGATTAGGAAAGAGAATGTGAGAAAGGGAGAAAAAAAAAAAAACATGGTCAAGCGCGCCTGTTGGCGCGTGCATTTCACGCGCCCGTGTGGCTGGCTGCTGTGCATGAAACGCGCACAACAGCTTATCTTTCCTGATATTTCTCTTCCCTTGAGAAGAGAAATATTTTATCATTTGCAGGAGAAATAATTCTAACATTAATCCCACCCCACATTTATAAATAACTCCACCCAAGTTATTTCTTCTTACATTAACCCTATATTATCCACTAGTGTGAATGCTCTTATAGCCATATTTGATTCAGTAATCTGTGTTTATGTACGAAGATCAGTGAATCAAATCACTCACACTTTAGCTCGAGCAATTGGCCCTCAAAATTGGAATCTCATCCCACCTGATTATATTCATTCATCTTTACCTACCTAACTTAATTAATAAGAGTCCGTGTTTTTGTCAAAAAAGATAGCCCAATTCAACAAACATGACATGCCACCAACAATTCAAATTTCTTGGCCACGTAAGGGGCAGGGAATGCTGTTTGGGATGAGAGATGACGTGGCCAACTCGTACGGTCCAGATGGCTCAATCCCAAGGGGCCAGGCCACTTCTTCATGGGGGGTGGACTGGACATTCTTCCACACTTTCATTCTCTCTTAATTTCCGACTCACAATCATTTTGCAATCCAATAATACCCGTATCATTTTCTGCATTATCACTCGCTATTTTCACTTTTTCAGCTTTCGCAGAAGTTTAGGTTTTACACGTGGCAGCCTCTGGGAGGGCCAGCGAACATCCCATTCGTTAATTTTAATGTATTTGGTAAATCCTAGATATTTTAACGACACGCGTTACGGGTACGTGTTGATGCATGCCGCGTTTAAGAAATTTCTGGGACATGCCGCATGCCAATTTTGGTTTTGTTTCAAGTTTTCCACTAATTATCCCTCGTGAAATTCATGCACAATTTTTTTCTAATATAACTTAAATTTCTCAACTTAATATAATTATACTAATTTAAATCCTTAAAACTTCTATCAAAAGTCGCTAAAAAAGGTAAATTATAAAGTCGTCCCGTTGCCACTGACTAATTTTATGTGCACTAATATGTTTTCTGTTGGAGTTCCATTTTTAGCATGACTTATTAGATCATATTCAATGAGATAAATGTGTTGAGCATATATATATATATATATATATATATATATATATATATATATATATATATACATAAATGCTTCAATTTAGTATCAGAGTTATGTCAGAAGTCATAAAAATAAAAATAAAAATAAAAATAAACTTTATGGTCTATGTGTTGCTTGGAGTCCATCAAAAAATAATCGGCTTGCACACGTGAGGAGACGTGTTGAACATATATATATATATATATATATATATATATATATATATAAACATAAATACTTGAATTGAATGCACTAATAATACAAGTAGATGTAATGGTCAAACTATATATAACCATTGAAATTAAACTAATGAAATGATGGCATTGAGGGTATGTAGTGAATGTATGTTGAAAATGCATGAACATGGAACGCAGCCCCAGATATTCTGTGGGTTCCCATTTTTCACTCAAAAGGCTTGGGAGCACATTGCCGGCAAATTATTCTGTGGACCTGGGTCCACCTAGCAAGATGAACTTAGGTTTTAAAATACACAATTTATATACTATATGTTTACAATTTATATACTGAATGTTCATAATTTTTATATATTGAATGATCACAATTTTATATATTAAATGTTCACAATTTACATATTAAATGTATATGCAAATATGTTTATAGATAAAAACAAGGATATAGATTCACTAAAACATGTTTATATGCAAGTTCTAGGTTTTAAAATAACATGTCCTGCTTTCTACATTTCAAAATAAAAATCAAATGCAAACAATTTTATTTGAAATCTTATTAATCAAAATATATCTAAAATCTAAAAACATAATAAGTTTTTTTTTATACATTATATTATAAAAGTTATACTACTATACAATATTTTGGACAAAGATACCATTACCCTTATAACTTTCATTATCTTTTCTACTATTGTTATCATGCATATGCATCCACCATATTTTTCTTATCTTCTTCAATAATAGTTGATATAGTAAATACGGGTATACTTACAGAAATGCGTGTATACAGGTGAGAGTTGAAGCTCGGATTCCTAACAGTGGGTCGGGAAGCTCCGGTTCAACTGAATGCCAAATGTTGCCTCCTAGTAGCATTTAATGCGCTATTTATAGGAGAGAGCGGGGACAGCCCCCGGGTTCATGAGCAGCACGTGGCGGACATGCACGGGCTGCGGCCAGGGCCGGGTATCGTCACGCCACGCGGCGATGATACTCTGAGGCCCTCCAGGGGCGGAATTTGGAGAGCACCGGTCGGGCCCGATCGTAGGAGATCGGGCACATGAAGGCGCCTCGGGCGCGCCAAAGAACCTCCGGAAAGGGCCGAGAACCGGGTAGGAACGCTCGGGGAGAACAATCGGCCGGTCTAGCAGTCGGTGCTGAAGGCGCAGGGCTAGAAGACCGTCCGGCTTCGACCGTATGGCTGAGAGGTACCGACCGTACAACAGCACGGGCATATATCCCTATCAATAGTAATAATAATATATACACATTATATATTGGAGTTATATATTTAGTTATTTCCTAAAATATAAATATCAAATTTATAAAAATGTAGTACTAAAAAAATTATAAAAATGTTTTACATTATTATTATTATTTAAAATAATTTAAATATTTAAAATCGAAATAAATATAAAATTTTAATATAAAATACTAATATTGGGCACCTATTTTTCTGCATCGCGCATAAAAAAATACTAATCCGTTCGCAACGGGCCGGCCCAAAAGTGCTGGCCATATTGGTTTTTCGATACGGGAGGGGATTCAAACTCACAACCTCTCTTAAGGGGAAAGAGTGCACAACCACTCACGCCAACCTCTATAACTATACAAAATTATAAGTTTCTTATTAGGGTTTCTCTACTTTGTTGGAATGGTTGGAGTCTAATTTCTGCAGTCTTTCTGATAACCAGCTCTGTTTATTCATATCTATCTGCTGGAAGCTTTGGGAGGCTAGAAATAACAAAGTGTGGAATCAAGCGGTAACCTCCTGGCAGGTAATTTTCAATGAGGCTCAATCTTACTTTACTGAGTGGTACCAGGCTAATTATGGAGATGAGCAATTGATTAACAAAGCTGGCCTTCCTACTCAATGGTCCAGACCACCATCAGGATGGCTAAAACTGAATACAGATGCAGCTTTGGACTCAAACAACTTAAAGATGGGATTTGGCTTTGTTCTAAGGGACTCAAGTGGAGAATTTAAAGCAGCAGTCCAGGTTCCCTATAACAGTTTATGTAGACCTGATGAAGCTGAAGCAATGGCAGTGCGTGAAGCCTTGAAGTGGTTAAAGTCCCAGAATATCTTGAACTTTATTCAGCTGGAGTGTGATTGCATAAAGGTTATAAATAGTGTGCCAACAAGTTCTACTATCACTTATTTTGATCTTATTATGCAGGATATTAGAGACATAGCTAGAGACTTTTGTAATCTCAGCTTTTTGTTTGTTAAACGATCCGCGAATATGGTCGCCCACTTGTTAGCTAGGGAGGCCTTATTTAAGACTGATCGTGTGGACTGTTTTTCGGTCCCTTTCCCTTTTGTTGTTGATGCTTTGGAGTTTGACTCCCGTTAATATATTTCGCCGTTTCTTCTCAAAAAAAAAGGAAGATTAAAAAAAAAAAAATCTATCAAATCTTAGGATGTGTTTGGTTCATGAGTTTAGCTATTAGGAATGGGAATCAAAGTCATTGTTATTGTTTGGTTGACAAGTTTTTAGAGTACTACTGATTTGATTACTAGAAAACACACTCCCTAATAAAATAAGGGTTTCATTCCATTATTCTCCCTCCTAATTGGTAATTTGATTTTTAAGTTTGGATTAGTGCTTTTAGATTTTTATTTTTATTTGTTTGTTTATATTGGTGCTTTGGCTGTCTTTATATTATAATAATAAATTGTCTTGATTTTTTTTTTTTATATTTTTAAAACCTTTATTCCCACTATAGGGTCATACATAACCAAACAACAATATTGGTCATCATTCCAATCCCACCCTACTAGCTAGCTACCAAAGGAGCGTTATGCTGTGCAACCGTGTGCACCATGCATGGTGTACACGGTTGCAAAAACAACGTCGTTTTGACGTTCAACTTTAAAAATAAATAAATAAATCAGTTTCGATTGTCGTTAACGGCGTTATGTTGTGCATAATTTGAACTATACATCCATAACTTCATAAATATAATTCAGAATTGCATAACTACACATCCATAACTTCATAATTATACATTCATAATTGCATAACTACACATCCATTAACTTCATAACTATACATTCAGAATTGCATAACTACACATCCATAACTTCAAAACTATACATCCATAACTTCATAACTATACATTCAGAATTGCATAACTACACATCCTTAACTTCATAACTATACATTCAGAATTGCATGCATAACGTACTATACATCCATAACTTCATAACTATACATTCAGAATTGCATAACTACACATACATAACTTCATAACTATACATTCAGAATGTGAAATTATAAAATTATGAACATATGTTTACGTAACTAATTAACGGCAATTGTCCAAGCACATTGTGCTCAAATGGCATGTAGTGACCTCTTTCATGTGGGAGGTTATGAGATCGAGCCTCCGTGGAGGCGTTGTTGACTCTTTGTGCTTTATTAGGTTGAGAAAGTATGTTTAAACAGATACTACAATGTACTAGGATACACCATGCATAATTTGTCACTACCAAACATGCAAAATACTTTCACCAAATCCATTACTAATATCGTTTATTTGATTCACATTCTGATTTGCATGTGCGAACCAAACACACCCTTTGTAATCAAAATCTATTCGTTCTATTGAAACCTTTGGCAAAGTATATATTATATATTAATATCTAATTTTCATTTTACATGTTTTATTTACTATTTATTGGTCAAATTAATTCTTTTTCTTTTACTTATTTTTTTTAATAATTGTTTGTATAATTTTTAAACATAACTTTTTGTGTGTTTAATAATAATTTTAATATAGTTTCGAAATATATACATTTTGTATACTGATATTAAACTTATTATTATAAAAATAAATTATAAACAACTTCAGTCAAATCTCGTAAATCAAATTAAAAATATAAAATGAGAATAAAGAAGTATATATATATTATTAAGTTTAACAATTTTTAGTTTTATCTATTTTAAAATTTTAATCTAAATATAATTATCATATTATTAGAGCACTCATTTTCACCGGCCCCCAGTGTTATTACTTATTAAAAAGGATTAGAACGATTCATTATGAGTAATATGACATTAAAACTTCCTTTTTTCGGAAAGGAAATTAAAACTTCCTTATTGCGCTTTGAAAAAAATTTCGTGGTTCCAACGTTTTTCCCATTTTGTTAACCTCTTAACATTTTCCAATTAAAATATTGCTCTCAGGGTGTCCCCTTCCTCTTAATCCAAAAATTAAAAATAAAAATATTGCTCTCTCAAAGGAAATTCCATGACAGATATTGCGGTCAAC